AGCTTCATAATAGGTGGTCAAGGTGCTGCGTGTCTGCTTCGTCTATAAGACAGCTCACAAACAGTGAAGCGGTCTCTCTCACCTCACAAAAGTCATGGTCTACTTGTAGTGACAGAAAGACTGCATAGACCTAGGCATAGACTTAGAAAATTGGGTCATTGTATGAAACTGTTTTTTTTTCTAAATGTAAAAGGTGATTTCTGAAAAAGTTTACATTTAAAAAGTGAAAAAAACAGTACTTTTACTGAGATTTTTTTATTAAAGGTTTTAAAGAAAAGCTGTTATTTATATTGTATGCATTTCACTGGGTTAATTACACTACAACATCAATAATGTGACAGCACTAAAAGTTATGTTGAGAAACACTGTTGCATAAATATTCTCTGGCCACTGAATATGAATAATCATTAAAAAAAGTGAGAACGAAATTTTGATTTGAGTGTTGTTAACCCTCAAATGTTTTCTGTATTCCAGGTGATATCAGCTGTCTTTTTTAAAGTCAGTGCAAAAGAAACTCATAAAATTACATCTATTTTTGTCATTTAGATAACTATTATACATTTAAAAACTGTTATGTGTTTTTATTACTTGTGTGCACCAATAACAAAAACGCAAAGTTTTTATTATTTTTTTTTTTAAGTTGAGCATTTATTCCTCATTGAAGATCAATCTAAAACAAATCCAAAGATAAACTTAACTCAGTGAATTCTTCTCACACAAACATGAGTGTGCTAAATGCTAGAATGTCTGCTTTTAAACGATGTAACTCAAATATAGCATTTAATATTCTCTGTTTATTTAATGTTGGGGAAAGCAAGGAAACTCACGATTGATAAGCTGCACACAGTCCACCCCTGCTGTTTTCACGTGGAAAAAAGCGCACACATTCTGGACACACAGACCGCAGGTTGAGCAAATAAAAGCACAGCAATGTTATGCCAAATAAAAAAGTCTGCTTAATAAATACCTTATGGCCACATGGTGGCACTATAACATCACAAAAACTCTTTGCAAATAACCAATTTCCTGATTGACTTGGCATGGAGTGTTAGTGTCCAAAGTGGAATGAGGGTCTATGAGGACTTATCTTCAAAATTATGGCCATAGGTTAATGATGATATCGAAACAAAACTCAGTGGGCATGTTTGACAATCACCAGGGGACAAGCTTGAGTGTGTAATTGATTGTGTCCAAGATTGCAGACATAAGTTAAATTAGCATTGATTAAATGTTAAAACATCAACCAAACTGTCATTGAAACAACAATGAAAGGTTTTTTGCACCGTGAAATAATGTTATTTTAATAGTGATAAACAAATCAAAATGATCACAAAATCAGCATTTATTCAACTATAATTAAATCAGTATGTACTATGAGGTGCCCTGTAGGATTTAAATCAAACTTTGCTTATCAACACATACATAAAACATGTTTATATACACCTATAAATTACTCGCATATACACCTATACTACTGGATGTTCAAAACAAAATAGATGAAACTTGAGTATATACATATAAACTTAATGCATGCACACATCCACATACACACGCGTATACATATAAACTTGATTCTCACATAAACACCCCTATTAACACACACACACATACATATAAACTTGCTGCATGCCAACACACCTATACACATTCGCATATACATATAAACTTGCTGCATGCAAACACACCTATACACACTCGCATATACATATACTGTAAACTTGCTGCATGCAAACACACCTATACACACTCGCATATACATATAAACTTGATCTATGCATATGCACCCATAAACTCTCACATAAGAATGTAAATTTGATGTGTGCATAAACACCCAAATAACACTTGTGCAAAAATACAAAACAAAATTCACAAACATATATACAGTTAGTTGTGTATGTACATATATGCAAGTGATTTTATATGTGTGTATGCATGAATTCTCACTATAAAAGGAGGTTATTTCACTTTAAATGGAAGTAGTTTAATTTCAACGTAAATGTCCTTTGAGCATAATGAACAAGATTATTATTTGTCATCAATCAAGTTATTGCAAATCTTAGGAAACAGAAATAATGTGATTAGTAGAGGAATTACATCTGTTGAATTATGAAAATAGATTATGCTAATTCTAAAAAAAAGATTTAATAAAATAAAAAGATAATGCTAAGGAATGCTCCTGCAAATTTAATGGTTTGTTATGCAATAAAATTATTGGAAATGTTATTATGGTTTAATAAATATAAGGTTGCTTGAATAAAATTTTGAATAAAATATGTTTGTTTAATATTAGTTTTTAATGTTTGTTTTATTGTCGGTGTCACTATTCGTTAAGGGTTATGTTATGTCCAGCAGGGGGCAGGAATGCACTTAAGTGGGTTTTCCTGTCATCAATAAACAGGTTATTTTACCAAAATGCTGGATGCCAGCTGCTGTAAAAAAGATTAGTAGTTATTAAACACAAAAGGAGTGTCCAGAGGATATAGCTTTTCCATGGGGGGTCAACTTGACCTACATGATAAACACAGACTTTTAATTAGCGTTTTTTTTTTTTTTTTTTTTTTTTTGTATATGCTGAATAATTACCAATCAAAATGATACCAAAATCTTGCAATTTTGACACCAACATTGTAAAAACCTATAAAAAGCATAATAATTATAAGAATTTAAAAAACAAAACAAGAAGACTATAGGTTTAGTTTAGTTCTAGTTGCTTTTTGAACGTCCTTTAAGGGTTCTATCTGTCCATTTATATTTGTGTATGTAATTACCTAATTAAATTAAAAGGTTTAAAATAGAAATATTTCTTATTTTGAATAGTCTATTTATATAGACTAATATTTTATATAACATATGTTCATAATTTAATATATTTAATCCCTCTATTAATCGCATTCTTTCTATTTCATAAGCTTTGCAATAACCAGATTTGTGATAAACATGTTTGTGAATATTATTATTTTTATTTTTGTATGTTTGCGCAATGTGTTATTTTGGGTGTTTATGCACGCATTGAGTAATATAGGTGTATATGCGAGTAATTTACAGGTGTATATACACATGTTTTATGTATGTGTTGCTAAGCAAAGTTTGATTTAAATCCTACACGGCACCTCATATCATACATAAGTAACATAATGCATTACGCAATTATTTATGTCTTTGGGGGAGTAACTCAATATTGTAATGCACTACTTTCAAAAGTAACTTTCCTCAACACTGTTAAGTATCATGTTTAACAACTATAGTGGAATACAGATTATGAAGGATATTTCTTCAATTTATAATTTTAATATTTGGAATACCTTAAATAAGTGTAGATCATATTTAAGAGACATTTATATTATTGGTGGTTATTTTTATTTATTTATTTATTTATTTATTGACAAAAAGGAAAGCATTTCTGGACTTATTTACCCAGTTTATTCAATTCTTTTTTAAATAAAATCAATAAAAGCTATAAACCAAGCTAATTTTATTTTACCTGTAAAAGAAAAATGTATATCAGAAAAGGAACATTGGTCAAAGAAAATGAAAAAGAAGGTTAAAGACCTTGACATTGAATGTGTCAATGATACAATTAAAATAAATTGGCTTAAATTCCTAAAAAGATCAAATAAATTAAATCAAATTATATGTATATCCCCAGCCTATTTTTTTATTAATTAAGATGGTATCCATTTTTTTTTCCTTAGATGTGATTATGACCTTAAAACACTGTTAATAACATCTAAGGAAAATAAATGGACGCCTTCAGTGTTTCATTAACAGGTTTTACTTGACTGGAAAATTATCCAAAAGCATAATTTTTGTCTACGTAATATTCCTTTATGGAAATGTAGATACATTGTATATAGGAACAAATCTTGATTTTACAAAAACTGGTGGGAAAAAGGAATATGGTCAGACATGCAAATGTTAGATAATAACAGAAAAAAAAATGTCTTTTTAAAAAGTATTTATTTTCAAATTGTATTTATTTGACAGAAAGCAATATAATAATATCATCAAAGCTATCCCACAATATGTATGTCTTGTAATCTATCTCAAAATAATATAACAACTTGTCTTCCTTAGCTTTTGGTGATTAGAGATTTGATTATTAATAGACATTTATCCAGTACTGTTTTACGGTATGTTTTCTATTAATGTTTAAAAAAATGCACTATTTCTCTAAGGAAAAAAGTTAAATTGTTATGAACTAAATATTTAAAGTTTCCAGTGGCACCAAAAGTATAAAGAAACTCTATTTTAAAATTCAAAATGGAGTATATCCTTCTAAAGAAAGTTTAAAATTTGATTCTGATTCCAACAATTTTGTGATGATCAAATTGAAACCACAGCATCTTTTCTATGATTGTAAATTTGCTTGTGCCTTTTTTGGGAAGATTTGCGTAATTGGTTATTTACGAAGTTTCAAGATTTACATTGCTTTAACAAAAGAAAATGCACTATTTGTATATTTTTAAACAAAACACATAATTTACCAGTAAACACAGTTATTATTCTTGGGAAGTTATTTTTTTTACATATTCTTAAGAATCCCTCAAAAATGTTATGTATTTAACTATGTCTTTATTTTCTATCGCTTAAATGAATGAAGAAATAGAATACCTCAATTATCTGTGATTGAATAGAACATAATGAACTTGCTGACAACCTTTAAGAGTTTTTTCTTTCTTTTTTATGATGCTCATCTGTCCTCTGATTAAGGAAGCTTTCATTATGTACCAGTAAATCATATATGTATTGTTGCTTTGTTCAAAGTTGTTCAAAAATAAATTAAAATGCAGAATTTTTTTAAGAGCGTTAAAAGCAACCATATCCACTACAGCATAGAAAGAAAGTGAGCAGATTTTAGTAAATTATTTTCTAGGATATTGCTCCGCACTCCAGTTGGTGGCGGTAATGCGCCAGATGTTGGCTTGCCAACCGCCATTAAGTACCATTAGAAGAAGAACAATGCGGGGACTGGATTCGTCTCTGTATAGGATGTTGAGCTCAGTTAAATGTGGGTTAACATAATAGTAAACAGTGTAATTCACAGTGTCTATTATTAAATTTTATTACAACAAACTAGAAATCGAATTGAGACAGTATTGTAATAGTTACAGTTAGGTCTGCAGCGCAATGGCAAATCCTAACCTAAAACAGGTGAATATTCAAAACAATGCAACATTCCCTCATCAGCAGAATGTTACGCGCTCTACGGAATCTCCGGGAGACCCTAAGGAAACGATGGAGGCAGTTGCTCCATCACCACAAGACCCCAGTTCTGCAAACTCTGAACCTCAAGAGATGACCGTAGACATCAAGAACTTCAGAAGACCAGGTGAAAAAACCTTCACTCAGCGTTGCAGATTATTTGTCGGTAATCTACCTTCAGATATGGCGGATGAAGATTTCAAAAAGCTCTTTTTCAAATATGGCGACGCAAAGGAGGTGTTCATCAACCGAGACAGAGGATTCGGCTTTATACGCCTGGTAAGACACCGTGCTTTGCAAAATACAAGTAGCCTGAAAATCAAAACATGGATCATTTTAAAGAACTTAACGTTACGTTAGTAGTGTGTGGAAGGGGGGTCGTTGACTGTTTGAAATGGAAACAAACAAATAAACATTTTAACAAACAAATAAACAAACAAATAAACATTTTAATTGCGTAAAAAGTTTTTTTACGCAATTAATTATTTTGTTTCTTGAGAAATATATTATTCTGTTAGAATTGTTACAAATATTATAAACTACGTTATTGCTTATTGCGTTGCTTGAAAAATATATTGTTAAAACTGTTATAAAGCTGAATATGTGTGACCAAAGGACAGAAACAATACAGAGGAAAAGAAACAATAAAGAGGAAAAGAGGGTGCATACCATACAGACATTTTCTAAAATTATTATTTTTAATAATACATTACTTATTGCGTGGCTCCAGAAATATATTATTATTCTGTTATAAAATATACTTTATTACTTATTGCGTTGCTTTGAGAAATATATTATTTTATTAAATATATATATATGTATATGTGTATATATATATATATATATATATATATATATATATATATATATATATATATATATATATATATATATATATATATATATATATATATATATATATATATATATATATATATATATATATATATATATATATATATAAAACAGTTTATATATAAATATGTATGTATGTGTGTGACTGTGGGGGACAGAAACAATACAGAGAGGAGTGTGCGTTTCATTCAGATTTTTTTTTTACTGTGTAATTTTGTTAGATCTGATAATTCAGTCACTAGGTGATTCCCATGAAAACCTTGTTTTTAAATCTTGTTCTTGACTTAAAAAAAAAAAAAACAGGCAAGAACGTTGTGGATTTTTTCTGGAAAAGCCCATTCACACATCCATTCCAAAATGCCAGTAAATTCTCACATCATTAACCAGAAATTAGCTCTAAACAGCTGCACTTGTATTTGTAAACATAGATGGGGTTAGGCTTTTGTGGATGATTGATGATACATAATATGTGTGTGTGCTGGCACTCACTCATTCCTGCACTTCATGTGCACACGTGTCAAGCAACTGAAGCAGAGCTTGAAGGTAAACAAACAGCAGTTTATCAGCCTGTATTAGCCGAGAGTGCTTTTTAAGTAGTAGGAGCCTTTCATTTACTCACGGCCCGCACTGACATTACATTCGGGCCTGGGCACGCTTACGTCATCAATGATGCGCTGTTCTGTAGAGAAACGCTTCTGCTCAGCACAGTGGAGATTTCTTCAGTTATTTTGTTTTAGTCGTTTGGTATGCGGTGACACAGTCAAATATTTCACTGAGCAGATCAACCACTTTTGATGCTCATAAACCACTATAAAGTCCTTGTGCTGCAGGAATTAGTAGGTTTGCTAAAGGTACATTGTGCATTGAGCGGTTTGCGTCTTTAATAATCTTTGACAGTTTGCGTTCATTGAACAGTAAGAATGATTGATAAATCCAGATGAAACAATCCCGTAAAAGTCGCATCTCATTTTTAGTTTTGGGCTCAGGCGTGCTTTGCACTAACAAGCGTACTGTGCCAAAGCCCAAGTGAACCGTATTCTGGCACACCTCTTCCAACCAGGCCACGGCAAGCCAAGTGAATCGTACCTGAGCCAGATTCAGAGCACTCACACTTCACAAATGATCCGGGAAACATTTCTGCTGTGAGTTGGGTAGCTGTGGTTTTATTTTTTGTGTACAGTCCGGGTTAGCACTCAGACATTCCTTTCAGACAGCTTACTCTTGTGTCCACCTGCTGTTGGTTGTGGTTCATCCTTTTTGGTAGTATGCTGACAATACCTTGGGTACTGTAACTGTTGATACTAGGGCTGTCGCAGTCACAGAGGAAATTTCTCCTGCGGTAAATCTGGATCAAGGTTATAATAGTTTTGAATTTTTTTGTAGTTTTAGTTTCTATTTCGTTTTGACTTTTTGTTTTTAATTCAGTTAGTTTTAATTAGTTTTAGAGGTAGATTTCCTAGTTTTTATTAGTTTAAATATTTTAAATGTCTTAATTTTAGTTAAATTTTTATTAGTTCCAGTACTAGTTTCAGTTTTTTTTCTAAATGAGAATATTTGTTAGGTGCAAGATTCAAAATCAACAGGTTAAATAATGTTTAATAAAATTGCAGTCATACATTTTTTGAAAGGTATTCAGAGGACACATGAACACTATCATCTACCACAACCATCTACCCATCCTCAAATTCAAATACAGCAGCCCACAAGATAGCAGCATTAAGTACAATATGTGTGCAAGGTTGTTTTTGAGGTTAGGCACACAGTAGTGATGGGCAGGGCCAGATTAACCAATAGGCATTATGGGCACAGGCCCAGGGGCCCGTTCGCATTTAGATTTTGCCTACTCTTCATAACGAGGAAGACAAGTAGGATTCATTAATAAGATTCCTAGAACTGGATTGGAGAGGTGTTATCCAAATCATGTGCATTATAAGTTTGTAGAAGTTATACATTAAAAATACCCTTAAAAATAAATTTTAGTACTGCTTTAGTGAACTTGAACAAGTATATTAAAATCCATTATTTTCCCCTAGTTGTATTAGTGTTTTTTTTTTCAAAGTGTGCTTTAAATGCTTTAAAACTAAGTTAAATCTTTGTAGACTAGAAATATATGTACTGTATATCATTTATTAAAAAAATGTGGGCAATACATTAAAGATTAATTTTATTTAAAAAATATTATATTAATCTTATTTTTTTATTCAACTACATTTACATTTAGTCATTTAGCAGACGCTTTTATCCAAAGCGACTTACAAATGAGGACAAGGAAGCAATTTACACAACTATAAGAGCAACAATGAATAATGCTATAGGCAAGTTTCAGGTCCGTAAAGTCTAAGAAGAAAAGTATTAGTAAATTTATTTATTTATTTTTTTTTGAGTACAGTTAGTGGTATATCCAGAGAGGCAATTGCAGATTAGGAAGTGAAGTGGAGACTAAATAGTTGAGTTTTTAGTCGTTTCTTGAAAACAGCAAGTGACTGCCATTCTGATGCGGTTAGGGAGTTCATTCCACCAACTGGGCAGATTGAACGCGAGTGTTCGGGAAAGTGATTTCTTCCCTCTTTAGGATGGAACCACGAGGTGACATTCATTCACAGAACGCAAGTTTCTGGAGGGCAAATAGATCTGCAGAAGTGAGAGCAGATAAGGAGCGCAGCCAGAAATCGCTTTGTAAGCAAACATCAGAGCTTTGAATTTGATGCGAGCAGCAACTGGCAGCCAGTGCAAACGGATGAGTAGCGGAGTGACATGTGCTCTTTTAGGTTCATTGAAGACCACTCGTGCTGCTGCGTTCTGGAGCAGCTGAAGAGGCTTGATAGAGTTAGCTGGAAGCCCCGCTAGCAAAGAGTTGCAGTAATCTAGTTCGGAGAGAACAAGAGCTTGAACAAGGAGTTGAGCTGCATGTTCAGATAAGAAGGGTCGGATCTTTCTGATGTTATAGAGTGCGAATCTGCACGATCGAGCAGTTCTAGAAATGTGGTCAGAGAAGTTTAGTTGGTCATCTTTCATTACTCCAAGGCTTTTCACCCTTTTGGATGCAGTAATGGTTGTCCCATCTGTCTGGATTGAAAAGTTATGGTGTAGAGTCAGGTTGGCAGAAACTACAAGCATTTCCGTTTTCGCGAGGTTCAGCTGAAGATGATAATCTTTCATCCAGGCTGAGATGCGAGCTGGAATCGAGGGGTCATCAGGATGAAAAGAGAGGTATAGCTGGGTATCATCAGCATAGCAGTGGAAGGTGAATCCATGTTTCTGGATGACTGGTCCTAGAGATGTCGTGTAGATGGAGAAGAGAAGTGGCCCATGAACAGAGCCTTGAGGTACCCCAGTGACAAATCCAGCAAGATGAGGACTGATGATTTTTTGTCTGCTTTAGCCAGTCTGAGATCCTCCACGACTGAGAGCAGGGCAGTCTCAGTTGAGTGGCCTTTCTTAAAGCCTGATTGCTTGTTGTCCATGAGATTGTTTTGAGTAAGAAAGTCCAGGACTTGATTTAACACTACTTTCTCCAAAATCTTGGCCATGAATGGAAGCAGGGATACCGGTCTGTAGTTTTCAAGTAGCGTATGGTCCAGGTTGGGTTTCTTTAGCAGTGAGGTTACCCTAGCCTGTTTAAATGAAGTGGGGAATAAACCAGAGTCAAGAGATGTGTTAATTATGTGAGTCAGTGTTGGTATGACTGCAGGAGAAATGGCTTGCAAGAGATGAGAGGGAATGGGATCAAGTGGACAGATGGTTGCATGGCTAGATAGCACGAGTTTGGACACCTCAGACTCAGAGAGCTGAGAAAAAGAGGTGAGTGTGTGTGGTGTTGGTGTTGTATCTTGCGTGTTTGTTGTAGGTGCAGCAAATTGAGCACTGATTTTTGCAGTTTTGGTGCAAAAGAATGTAGCAAAGTCATCAGTAGTAAGTGTGGAGGATGCGGGTGAAGGAGGAGGATAGAGAAGGGAGGAAAATGTTTTAAAAAGTAGGCAAGGATTAGTGGCATTGTTGATTTTCTGTCAGAAATAAGTCTGCTTAGCAGAAGTAACCTCAGCCGAGAAAGAAGACAGAAGAGTTTGGTATGGTAAGAGCTTTGCAGGATTTTTAGTTTTCCACCAAATTCTCTCTGCAGCTCGAAGTTTTGAGCATCCGAGAGCCAGGGTGCAGGAGGACTGGCACGGGCTGGCCTGGATACAAGAGGACATATTCTGTCTAGACATGATGCTAGTGTTGAGCAGAGTGTATCAGTGGCACTGTTCTTATCAAGTGCAGAGAGTTTACAAGATGGAGTAAGAGAGTCTGAAACAATGGTGGATAGTCTATTGGGTGAGAGAGAGCGTAGGTTTCTGCGAAAGGCAACCGGAATTGGAGTGTGTGGTGGCTCAGGAATAATGTGGATGTTGAGGGACAGAAGGAAATGATCCGATATTTGTAGT